GTCACAAATTCCAAATTTTATACATAGAGGTTACTCTCCACACATGGAGAAACTGTTTACAACCATCATGATATAATCACCTAATAAAACAGCTCTTACAATACTCAAAAGAAAAATGAAAAAGAGAGAGATAATTGAAGATGAGAAGCTTAAAAAATTTATCTCGAAGAAACAATCTTCAAGCTCAATCGTTATTCCTTCAAAGTTGATAAAAGAGATGAGCACTTGTGGGTCGCTTAACACATTCGATGTTACTGGACCTGAAAATACAGCAGCTAAAGGAGCTTTCTTGATTACCAATGTCTCGGTAACAAAAACCGAGAGAACATAGATGCGGCTAGTTGTGTTGGGATCTTGAAGCAGAAACTGCAATGATGAAAGGGAGTCTTCGCTGGACTTGGCCAGAAGTGAAGTAAGGTCCCGAAAAGAGACAGCACGAAGGCCTTGGAGAAGAACATTGATGTTATCCTTAGATTGGTCACTTCTCTTACGCATTATTCTCCCTGCAGTGATACTTTTCCCACCTAAAGAGGGATTGAGAAGAAAGAACACCTCCATAAAGGAGAAAACATGACAATGAATGTCCACACAAGCACATACCAAACGATATATAGGATCGTAGAAGCATACTAAATCTTTTGAGRATACACCCACAAAGGATGAGACTCTAACAAAGATAGTAAAACTGATTTTACCCATAACGCTTGAAGACTCCATAGACGGAAGACGGCTAGATTGTTCACAAATCCCATGAATGGGTATGGCTAATCTTAATATCATCTGAGTTCTAGAACACCAACAAATCAAAGTGATATGAGTGAACGAGAGCAAGAAGTAAACATTGTACCTGATCGAGACTAGCTCGAAGCCGAAACATATCCGAAATAGCCTGCACACAGCAGTAAGGGATCACAGAGACGCGAAGAGAGAACCTCCGGACAACGTCGGAAAGAGAACCACATAGATAGCAAAGAGCTTCAAACGGACCACATCTGAGACCGATGTATAGGCTGAATTTGAAGGAGAAGAGCTGAGATCTAAAATCTGGAAACGCGTGAGTGGAAGAGAGATGGAGGAGATGCCAGGGGTTGAAAGTCGAAAGAGGCAGTGATCTAGGTCCGGCGGGTCAGGGGGTCGGGTGGGTCAGGTGGATTTGGTGCCAGATTTGGAGTCGAAACCGAAATCGAAACCCTTACAACCGAGGCGACAAAGGCGACATCTGGTAGAGAGACCGGAGATTGAGACCTTGTATTGCGCCCAGCCATGAGAGGAGCACGATGAGGTAGAGAGGAGAAGAAAATCTCACTGGAGGAGCGAAAACTTACCGTCGGCGGCGATTAGAGTTTTGCCCCCTCAATCACCGTTTGTGTTGTCTTAAGAAATCTTATTAGTTATAAAAAAACAGAAAAAAAGAAGTATAGGATATATTTTTATTTTTCCTTGCTTTCGAAGAACCATTTACTTCCTGTTTTTATTCTCTAATTAGTGGTGCTTTTCAATTTATCTTTCAAACATTTCAAAAATCATTGGCCCTTTTTGAAATAAGATAAAGAAATTTGTTTCTTATTTTACACTTTTTTTTGTACATTTAATGCTTTGATTCTACTTTGTATTGTTTATAGTCTCTCTATGTATAATGGTTGACAATTATTTTATTCGTTTACTATTTTTAGTTTTACTTTTTGTAATT